TTGTGAATAATTGCAAACTTCAGTATCAGTTATATCGGATAAATCAAGTTTCCCGTATCATTAATAATTCAGATGGATTCATAGATGAAATTATTAATCCATTCTTTTCTATTAAATCAATTGGAAGATCATATGAATATCCTGAATTTAATAATATCGAATTTGATTCTCGTATATTAAATTACACGAAACTTAAATATCAAAAATTCCTTCACCTAAATAATTAATTATTTACTTCACGAACCATTAGGAATTAAAGCACAGTTCCAATACTTAGACTCACTAGAGAAACAATATTTCTCAACGGATCCACCCCGATTTCGAGCGGCCAAACGTCATTTCGAAGTAGGACCAAGCATGAGCCGCGACGAAAGTGTCGGTGGCAATTCGCGAAATTGCCAGTTCCTTTGTCTCCGTGGGATCGCACGAGATGGGGGGATACGCAGGGAGACATTCAGCACGCGGCATCCTGTGTTCCGCGGGAGCAGCAGAGAATTATGCGCTTATTGTATGTTAATAGGGATCCCCTCAGGGATATATCCCCCTCCTAACGTTTAAAAATATCCGCTGAACCCGGCGACCGTGTTGTGCGTCGTCCTATACTCGTCTCTTACCCCTCCGCCGATCGGGATTTTCTAGTTTCTGGAACTCGTAGTCGTCGGGAGCCTTCTTACTGTGAGCCAGCAATGATAGCATGCTCGAGGATGAATTTAATTCTCGTCAAATTGATTTGTCAGAAATTTTTATTCGTCGTATATGAGTATTCAATTCAATTTCGTTGCGCGAAAGAGATCGAAAAAGAAAGGATAAATTTTTTAGTTATATTCTGTACAAACTTTCATTGAAATCAGAATTTTTAATTCAAGTGAATTCCCTTACAAGAGAGTCTATAAATCTTTTCTTCATTTTTTTGATTATCGATACTTATAAAACTTATTTAAGTAAGGCGCTACTAAACTTAATAAAAATAAATTTAATATTTTCCATCGATCTTCAATTTTGAATCAATTGACTTTACACTTTATATATCTGCAAACTTTCTACCCGCACATCGTGCTCGTCAAAAACTGTTTTATCCACGACGCAAAAGGAGCTGAGCATAACAAATTCCTTCCATGTTCCTCGCTACATCATATAGGGAGAGGTATTTTCGTTCGAAGTGTGATGGTTTTCACGGTTGTATCGGCACATCTTTCGTTTCGTGTTTTCACTGAAAACTTTGTCTCCTCGCCACTCTTCCTCCGGTTAATGGGGGGAGAAGGGACGGTTCAAAGGATGGCTTTACGACTTCAACGTTCGCAAATTAAGGGAAGTCGAGTGAAACCGGCTCTGTTTTCGAGGCGATGAATTTCGCTGACGAGGCAGTTTCGCGGTTTCGGCCGGGGGGAGGGGAGAGAGTTATATGGAATTAGCACGGCCCACGTGTAAGATTAGACGAGGAAAAAAGTGGCACGCAGAGCGAAATGTAACAACGTTAAGTGAAAACGTTGAAACGGTCTTCCCGCTTTTCAACGTAGTAGAAATCGAGTCTCTCTCCTCGCTTTTGAGGAATCTCGTTTTCAGAGGGAATTACACGAAACCTGTAATTCTTGGATCCTTGTAATATACCAGTTTCGAAGAGAGAAAGAGACAGTCTTTGATGGGGAGATACGTTGCGTGTGTTGTTCGACTCGAAAGAGGCTATTGTCGAGTTATTACTGACGTTTAGATAGCGAGAGATATTTTAATTTTTCAGAATTATATACCTTGTCGTATTGTTTGCAAACACGTTGCAATTCGTTAAATTTATACGATTCATTAAACAGTAATGAAAGGAAATGATAATATAATAATAATATTTATGATGTATAATCTTATTATATTTCTGTCACTTCTTCTCCACGAACACTTTTTAATATTTATTCTTGCATCAAAATCAATTCTCTTTTTTTTTTTCCAAACAGATGTTTTTAGAAATTTCCATCCACATTCTGGGGTGGATTATTTATAATATCGAACAATCATGAATTCCTTCGTTCACTCTTTCAAATGAAGACGCAGTTATAGTCTTATTTAAACTTTCCATTTTCAGCAAAGCTCCAAGATCTAGAATATCTTTCACTTGTAAATATATCTCGTTAATTCTCGAACACGCGTACAAAATTCCAAACTTTTCCCATTTTCAGGCCCTTCAAGAGGAAACAGCATCAAAGCTTGCGTAATCCGTATTCTCGCGCGGATTTCGAGCAGCATCTCGTTGAACAACGCGCAAACGTACGACGTTGTTCGTGTCGTATTTCGTTGTGTAATGGAGGGACCACCTGTGCAGTGAGATTCTCGAATGTGGTCTCGTTGATGTAGATTGAAAGTCGGTTCGTAGGTGTGAGATACGAGCGTGAAGCGTACTGGTACCTGTATCTGCGATTTCGCAAATCGACGAGGTTGGAATTCTTTATAAGGATGGAAGAGAAACGTGGACTTTTGATTCCGGTTTCGAGCGTTTTAATTTCACGACAATATTCGTAGAATAATTGCTATCGCAGATATCGTAGAACGTAGTTGAAAGTTTTACAAAATTGAAATCAGGAAAATTTAGTTATCTGTGTGTTGGAAGGCAAAATTATTGAATTATTATTGTCAATTGAAAGGAAATTTTCGTCCGTTCCAATGATTTTTAATTTTTATTGGAAAAATAACGTAATAAATAAGGTAAATATATATTTTTCACGTTTAAAGGATCGATTTGAAAGGAAGAGCATTCTCGGTGCAGAGATCCCGAAAACGCAGTTACGTCTCTGGTAATTTTGTTCCTTGTCAATACCTCCATAATGTTATTTTAAACGTGGCACTTGGCCAGGAATATGCATTCACCCGGTGGATCTCTTCGCGTGGTTGGATCGTGGTTTCTATATATAACTCGCCACTTGCGCACATTGTTACTAAGAATGTTTTCCTTCGTTTTGTTTCAGGTATGTACCAGTGGCAGAAACCCACTATGAATATATTTAAGCGAGAGAGCAGCACGTGAGTCAATAACATTATAATATTGCAACTTGGATTCTCATAATTTAGTACATAATATATTTCCCCCATATAAACGAGTGTACGGTGAGATGTAAACGAAAAAATTGAAAATCAAAAACTGAAGCTAGAATTAGATAGAGAAATTAAAAAAAAAAAATAAATAATAGGAACTAGAGAAAGTTTGAATTAAAGAGAATTCTTAAGAATGATAAATTTATAGATAAAATCAAAAAGCTTCAATAAATTAAACAAAGACAAGAGACAGATAGCAACAATGTTTAATTTTAAATAGCAAATAATTGAGAGATCAAGTATCATCATTTTGAATAGAAAAATTTGTCATAGTTTTGATATATTTTCAACGGTTGGCAACGGTTGGTATGCCGGTGGTACCACTCAAACCTTAATTTGTTCCGCTGCACTTGGATAGCCGCCTTAACAGCCCTTTAAGACAACGTCGGTGACTCGTGTGAACGCCCATTACGCCGTTAAATTGAACAATTGCCGTCGATGGGATCTCTCTTAAACACCTTCGATCTCACATGCTTCTTTTCCCACGTTGCAAACGTTGCTAAACGTGTTCCGTTATATCAATACTCGTTAAAATTTCTCGTTCAAAATCATCGGACAAAAATTCTCTTCGATCGTACAACTGGAATTGTTTATCTTCAAAATTATCTTACACGTTATTTCCTCTACATTGAAATTATATTATATTTAAAGCATTATCCATTCGATAATTTCTCATGAAATTATAATGTCAAGTAGTTGCATGAAAATATAAATACACATATAAATCGTTTAAAATAATAATAAGAGTACCTACTTCTTTTTCGAGAATCACTTCTCAATAAGGAATCAAATATACCTAAGAAAATAAAATTGAATCGCACAGATTTTACGCAATACGATACAATAGACACAATAATTGTAATCGATAATTCACGGAACCGTTACAATCGTAACTGAAATTGAAAAACTTCACGGACTCGTCGTTACGCGCAGGCGCGGGAATCGGAGTTGCGTGATTGGCGTTCACGGGGTCACGTGGTCGCACGTAGGTGGAGTATACGCGGCGGTGTAATTCGAATGAAAATGTTTTCCTCATGTTTTATTCGGAGAACGGATGGGCGGTCCGCTTTGAAATCAATTGCTAGGGACGCGTAACATACTCGGCGCTGTCTCTGCCTTTCTCTCTCTGTTGATTCTATGCGAAATGTAATGAATAGAAAAGGGCCCGGCGGAGAGAAAGAGAAGAGGGAGTGGACCGCCGCGATGAGACGTTGCCCTCCTCCTCGTTCTCAGCAAATGAATTCAGTCATGAATATGTATCGACCGCTCTCATAACAGAATTCATAGTGTACCGAGCTGTTCGCTCATGACGGACGGAAGTCGTTGTTGCGGATCCTTCTTCGATCGGCTTCTGACTTAAAGAGATTCGTGTGGAGATAAGGGGGAGATGAGAATTAAATAAAAGCGGTGAGAGTTGGAAGGAGAAAGTAAATTGCGACGAAGGTTGAGGATAAAAGGTGTAGCTGAAAGTGTAGGAAGGCTATTTTAAAGAGAAAAGAAAGAAAATCTTGAGGTAAGGGAATTATTGTTACTTTTAGTAGGGAAGATGATTAAGAGGAAGAGTTGATTGAATCAAAGTGGTGGCAAGATTGTGAAAGGGATATAGGTGAATGATATGAAAAGGCAGTAAAATGAACAAGCAATTCGAATCGATTAATGGCTTCAGAATAAATATCGAATAAATAACAATTTTCTTTTTCAACACTTTTTTACGTTATTACAATGAATTTCATATCGAATCGTTAATTAAATTATTTTACAAATTTTTCGAAGCACTTGAACTTGAATGATCGTTCATTCTCATTTCTCATTTCATCACGATTCTTCAACTTTTGCAAATGCTACCCACGATCCGTATCATTTTCCAAAAATCAACGAAACCTGGAACAACAACCGCCGAAAAATCGATCTTCCTTACCGGTCGATCCCTCGAGCGCCTCGTGATCGAGGAGCGCCAGCTCCTCTCCGAGCAGAGTTGGAAGGGGTCGTAGGGTCGGCGATGTCGTGTCTCTGTTTTGCAACGCGTAATTACCAACAACGGGCAGGCACGGCGTTCCCGTGGCGCACGGCTGCCAGTCGAGCGCGGCATTAGACGGATTTTTATGCGAGCGCGTAACGAACGGCGTTTTGCATATTCCATGCCAGGCCACGACGTCTCGCGCTCGGCTCTCAACAGTGCGCCCTTCTAAGTGCCGCCTGTGTTCCGTCACGCGCCACGACCTGGAAACCGATAGTCCACTAGCTTCGTTGGCCCTGGATAGTGGAGAAGGTTTCGCTAATGGAGAGTGTAAGTGCTCGCTTAAAAGTGTCGTTGTCCTTATCCACTTACTTGGAAATGACGCCTCGTGTTTAGAACCAGGTATCGATCGTTAATTCGGAATTTCGAAAGATGTTGAGAGAAATTAAGAGATTTTCTTTTTAAAAAGTATTTTCAGAGATTGGAACAAAGGAGCGAAATTTTTAAATGATGGATCTTTCCGCGAAAGATGATCGTCCTATTTTCAAGATATTTACAATGTTATTTTTTAGTTGCTTTTCTCTCGAGATATCATTCAATTTTTAATGATTTTTTTTTAATTAAACTATTTTACTATCGGCTAACAATTAAATAAGTTTTTATTATATATCAATTTCACGATTTATATTGGATATCGAGTTAGATCGGATTAGATTAATAACTTTTTCACTTGAAACAACGATCTGTTTTTATAATCGGCGATTGGATAGAATCGAGATTACTATTATACGAAAACGATGGCGATAAAACATTAATGAAGAGCGTGCGTGGGCGAATGGTCGACCGTGGTTTGATCGATGCCCCATTGTGCCGCAGCAGCTCTCTGTCGTCATGTTCATCTGGGTTCCTTGTGTTTTTGTCGGATTTGGAAAGTCGGAGTGAAATTGTTCGTAACTTTGAATTCTATATATGCATTTATCATGTGAAAATCTACTCTTTCGAGTTTCATTTTCCAACTGTGACTCGTGATTCGATCGTATCGAAAATCCACGATTCTTTTTATTATTGTTATTATTTGCCATTTTGGAGACGCATTGTTCTTCGCGCTGTTGTTTTCAACTAGTTGTTCGAGTCGATAGAAATTTATAATTTTTCCACGCATTATTAAGAACCGATAATCTATCATCTCATTAGCTTAACACCGCTTCTTTTTGCGATTGTAATTGGTGACATTGTCCATTGTCAGCGAGCCATTTTATTTTATTCGGTGTGTAACTTTTTTTTTTTTTTTTTTTTAATGCTCCTTTGTTAACATTATTCTGAAAATTTACGATTGTTCTATTTGGTGAGCGTTTGAACGAAGCATATGTATTTTTTACTTTCAAAGGAACACAATATGAAAGTAATTAGATAAGATAATAGGATTGTTGTAATAAAAATTCTTATTAAGAATATCAAAGAATATTCTTTATTAACCATTGTGAAAATTATTGTGAAACGGTGACAACTTTCACAAGTTAATGAGTAATGTAATATTTCTTTTTTTTTTCTTTTTTTTTTATCCGTCTCTTTAATAAAAACAACGATGTTGCGCGTTTGAACGCGCGGGGATCCCCTACTCTAATTGATCAGAGGATGAAGATCACGCGAAATTGTTGAAACTGCTACTTTGTAATTCAGAGCCAGATTTGGGTCTCGTCGTTGCAACTGTTCGAATGATTGATAAACTTTCATGCTTGATGTTCCAAATGACTGACTGCTTACGAGATATTGCATACACGCGAATAGACGTCATAATTATAGAAATATAATGAAGATTGATGCGACGTTTATTCACGATGATTTTCACGCGAAGTAAAATATATACACTTGGGGGGGAAAAAGTATTCTCAAAGTGTACATTTACCTTAGTAAAACACGAAATTATTCGAATTTTTAAAAAAATTAATTGAAACTTTTCAAAGAAATGTTTGTCCTCCGTTCTTCCATACAATTTCACCGTTACCACGATCGATGAATCAAAAATACATATTTTACCACAAGTCCAATGTCCATTCAAAAATTCAAGTTGGGAAAGTTGAGTTCAAACTTGTTGAAGAAGAAGGGAAAAATTGAAAATTGATTGGAATGTTTCAAAGATGTCCGGACGATACCGTAGCAAAGTTACGCGTGATCGATGAGCGGAATGCATTCTCACGGGTATATCCTCCTACGTCAGATAAATGTCGTAGCATCGGGACGTAGATAAATGATAATACTCGCAGAGACCCCTTCTCGTGTGTGTGCACGCTCCTAGAAGGACAACAGGAATCCTAGCCATTACGATAACGTGTATATTATAGCCTCTGATATCAAGCAGTTATTGCATTTTTCATGCGCGGGGTTCCGCGAACTCTGACCGAATCGAATTCCGTGCAAATCGATTCCTCGCCTGTTCGACCGAAACATCGCGATATCGACGAAGATTTTAAGTATTTAGAGATCTATACGATATTTAAAATTTAAAAAAAATTCGGCAATCATTATTGTACGTACATTTATTATCACGCAACAAGCTTTCATCGTTTCGCATTTATCGATCGAGTCAGTTCCTCGACGAAAATTAAAAATCCCCAAACTTATTTCGTGCAAATCGATTCCTCGACCGAAATCGCGATATCGACGAAGATTTTAAGTATTTAGAGATCTATACGATATTTAAAATTTGAATATCATCCCTTACAAGCTTTGATCGTTTCGCATTTATCGATCGAGTCAGCTCCTCGACGAAAATTAAAAATCCCCAAACTTATTTTAACTTGGAAAAATTCTATATATAATATTCCCCAAGTCGGTCAATTACTCAGCGTGTCTAATTCGCTCGCAATTCACCTCGGCGTCTAATAGTTCGATGTTGCAAGTATACAATATATACGTTTGGCCGTTATCGTTGCCAACTCGAAAACGTGGGTGCGCCAGGCGCAACGGAGCGAGTCGTGAAACGGTCTCGAACTTGTCCGCTACGTGATTCCGGTTGGAACGGCTGTTAAGTAGGTGTTCGCGCTGCCGCCTGGTGGCGACTGCGCTCCTCTCTTTTCGCTTTCCGTCACGATTCACGAGTGGTCAAGAGCTGGTTCACGTAGCTGGGACGAAAGGTCGATAATGAATCCTGTGGGATCCTACGGGATTATTGGTCACGTTTCTTTGCCAGATATTGATTTCTCGATGCTGGATCCAAGACTAATGTCGTCGGTAATGTCACTTGCCACGCGATTTCACCGTGCCTTCTCGAAAACGGGACCGCGAACATATCCAAGTGGATGATACGTCCACTTTTGGAATACGTGATCGGCGGAGAGGAGAAGCGATTATTTTAGGACTGAAAGTAACGGATGAAGATGATATATGGGATTTTTATTTTCAGAAATAAAATAGGGTATAAATCGTAGAAAATTGGGATACGTGTTAAATAATTGAGAAAATATTTCGTTTGTATCGTGTATTATTTCGTTGCAATTTTTGAATTAAACGATTCTTCATATTTTACGTTGGATACGAAAGAAATTATTTCCTATTTGGTACGTAAACCAAAACTTTGAATTCAGAAATATATTTATAATATATCAACTTCGTTCCATAATTAAAACGTTCCAATATCTTAAGCCCATTAAGAGATACCAGTATGACTTACGAACAGTAGTATATAACCTCTTGCGTATAATACAGCGATGGAAAAAGATTGCACGTGTATACAAGGTTCACGGTATACGCTGGTGGTACATAAATAACGACAAAAGAAAAACTCTACGCTTCTGACACGTGCAACCGGTAATTACGATGATTAACCGCGGCTGTAACGGCGAGGCATTTAAATATCACTGGTTAAGGGTGAAAACTATTAAAGAAGGATCTCGTGATTTTTCGTGGGAATCCACCGCGTTTCTGCTCGCGTCGGGGCCCGTTTAGACTTGTAAAACAGCGCGAAGGGAAAGGGAAAAGCGATGTTTTCGTTTGCCGTTCGTGTTCGGCATTCGTTCGATGTTCCACATTCGGAGAACACGAGAACGCGAGGAGAAAATCGGCGCATCGGTGAATCATGCGGTGTGAACGCGGCCTAAGGTAAAGTCCCTCGAGGCTTGGCGGGGTCTTAGATCGTGACCGGTCGACACGAGGCCCGTCACACGATCGCACGGTTCTCGATCCGGCCGATTCCTCCTTTCCTCGCCTCCTCTCTAAACTGTCCTCGTGCGCGCACACACAAGGTGTCCTCGGTGAATAATTTGACCCGTCCGAGGAGTCGAATATTCTACAGGTTTTACGATCCTCCTGCCCCTTATCGATCGATCGGTGTAATAGATCCCTAGGAGAGAGAAGGTTCAAGTTTATGATGTTTTCAGGCAAATTGAAATGTAAATTGTGATTGATCGTGGAAAATGAGCGTCTAAAGTTTCTTTACCAGACAATTTTAAGCATTTCATAAGCACGCGAAGAAGCTATCCGTGACGAGATCCGTAACCTCCAAATTGTACGACTCTATCTCTCTCGAAGAAAACGTATTCTGAATCTGTGTTAAAAGTTAAAACTCTTCTAAATTAATTCCGATATAAACGATTGCAGTAACCTCGCTTTTTGATACATCCTCCATTAACCAAATGGAAACAATTTACGATAGAAGCCACCGTGTATAGGCGAGGCACGAGGCCGTTATGGGATCGTGACGCCGATAGCGCGGTTCTCGCCGGTTGTCGTCGATAGTCGTCTTCGCCGTGTCACCGTTCCATGCCTCTGCTGCACTAGTTTCCCTGACCGATTTCGTGGCGGCCCTCGTTTCCTGCTGCACGAGCCTCGTGAGAAACGCGGGGAAACAGTACGGATCAGCCGTGGAAGCGGACTAGGCCTCTCCTCTAATTAGCGGGCCAATATATTTTATCTTCTCGAAATCCTAAATTATTAAAACAATTGATCCTCGAGGTAATTAAAACAAGGCTGAAGTAGCAGCTCGATAAATAAACTTTCGATCAAACAGCTTCGAACAACATCCGCGTAAAATATTTTACCAAGATTGGGATCTGCTCCCCTAAGGAGCAGACCTGTGCTCCTTCTCCCCTCTTTTGTGTGTGTGTGTGTGTGTGTGTACGCTTCCTCCTCATAAGACATTCATATATTCGAACGATCTCGAGGAGGTTGCACGGGTTCCTGGAAGACTGGCATTAGAAACCGGAGACCGGCTCTCCTTCCTTCCCGATTTCCTCTCTCCTGTGTTTATCTCGCACAGGGATCCCACGGTGGTGGCTTTCGTCCTTTGACCCCGTTCCCTGTCCACGAGAACGAACCGCATCGCACGATCAAACCGCGCCAGGATGCTGCACAGGGGGATTTATCGCGTTTCGATCATCCTCCCCCATTGATATACCGTTCTCTGGCTTCGCTTCTCTCTCTCTCTCTCTCTCTCTCTCTCTCTCTCTGTTCTTTCTTTCGAGAAGATGAGAGTCAGGCGAAACTGAGAGGAGTTCCAGAGGAAATCGAAAGCGAGAACGTGTGGCTTACAGCGACCACGTGGGCGAGGAGAATTCCTTACGCGCCGCTCGCAGCTATTGTGCAGAGATCAATTGCGAAGCTCAAGGACGCTTCCGTCATTATTAAAGAATATACACGAGAGGGAGGGAGGGGCTCCCTTTGGAATTTAAATTAGAAACGAATTCGATCGTATGGATAATACGTTTTTCCTCGCTTCGATTATTAAAAAGGTTTGATTTCGGAAGAAAAGATTTTTGTTTTAACGAATGTTTTGCACAATTAATCAAGTTTTGATTTTTCTCCTCGATGAAAGTTCATTCTTGGCGATTTTCAGTCGAGTTTCTCTCATCATCATCAGTATCAGTTTTCATCAACCCTTTGCCAACTCCACACGATTCATCCGTTGATGAATTTCTTGAAAATGATTTCACACACGAATTAACGTATAAAACTTTTGTATTTTAATGTTTTATCTATCTTTACATACGAGGAATGATAATTTATCGAATATTAAAAAATCTATATTTATTGCGTGATAATAATGTAAGTAATTACTAAGAAGCGTCCTCAGTTTATCAGAGCAAATATCACAATGAAATATCGTTACCAAATAACATTATTCTTCTTATACTATATCTTTATTTTTATCTTACTATTTCCTTCCTCTCCATCGTGAATTTCTTAGAACCAATAGAAATAATTTCGTTATTTAATAACGAAAAATCAAACTCATATCCACTAATTTCATTATATGCGTATTTAAAGAGCTTAGGAATCTTTCAGCTTCTGAATTAGTGAATCTTCACTTTCTTCTTTGCTCCTTGAGTCAATCTTAAGTATTCCGGTCTGAATATCCAACTTCAACTTATTATTATCAATGGAAATTCGTAACAACATCCTCCTACGTTATATAATTTTAGATTTAAAATTAATAAAGATGCAGAGTGGTTCGTTTCACGGATCATACTTGTCCCTATTATTCTCAAATTTTAAATTCTGCGATTCCAATTTACATTAGTAAATATATGTATAATATAATTACATTAGGGGACTTTGTGCAGAGGGTTAAAATCTTATTTTATTCTTGAACAAGAAGACGAACGTGTTAAATAATATCGATTAATGGGTTTCGTTTGTTCTCGAATCGTGTTTGCGTAATTACTTTCCAATAAATCGCGCATTAACGTAGATGCTTTGACAACCAGGATACTCTTTGTCGATGCAACTCTCGCCTCTGTGTGTATAATTCATCTTGTCACCTTTACCGTTTCCGCGACATTTTATCGAATTTGTAATGAACAAGTGGAGTGAAGAAGAAGATTCAACGTACGAGTCATTCGGAGACTGGATCTTAATTTTGAATAATATAAATATAAATTTACGAAAATTTTCACGAACATAAAAATTGAAGATATTTATTTTCAAAATTGTAACAATCGTAACGAAACAATCGTATAATTTAATTAAACTTTGGTTTTACGAAAGTGCTCGTTTCAACGATTTGTTGTTTCGTCTAAAATGATTTGTGATGATGATAATTTTATGAAGTAATTATACTTTATTAAATTAATAACTATTGGCAATCGAATCAATCAAATTTTCAGCGCGAGATTAAATTGAATTTGCTGAAAGTTATAAATATTACTAATGCAATTATTACACGCATAATTAAAGATACGACGAGTAAAAGTCTGTAATTCGCATATATTTCTCCCATTATTATATTCACGCTCACTTTATCGGCCGTTAAAATCTCCAAGATCTAAACGCAAAATAATAATTTACCGTCCATCCACTTCCTTCTCTTCAACACTTGTCAGATACTCGACATCAAGTCCCATAATCTAGTCAAGAACTTCGCTCCAAGAGAGAGACCGCTTCGAAGGCAAGGATTATTATTCGTAAAAAGACTCGAATCGTTAAAACTATCAGCAACTTTATCTTATACATCCTTAGAGATAAGCATCTACAATCTTACAAATTTATTTCTAAGAACGTCAAACACTTCGCCAACTATTTTCATTCACCTATATATATATACGTATGTATTCAAGTTCCCACAGAAAGAAAAATTCTTCGAAGCCTCGTCAATAGCCATTTCCATTCGATTGGTCCGCTTCCTCCATTTTCTCGGGCCCCCTACGGAGAGCTGCGTCTTCAAGCCGCTTTCTCCCAGCGATCCTATCGGATTTTTACTCGGCCGATAATTCAGCGACTGGACGACATCTGAAACGCGCCGATCGCGCCTTCCCCCACTCTCTCGAGCCGTTTCTCGAATCTTCTTTCCTCCCATTGTCCCATTAACACGTTCGTTGAGTTCCTCAAATGTTATTGCGGAAGTAATTTTAATATTTATATTTTAAAATAAAATTTAGTTGCACCAATTCTGCAACACTACTTCGTTTCCAAGATGAATTTTAAGTATTTTGGTGAACACAAGCCTCTAATTGGCAACTTAAACTCAGTTCTATATTATCGATGGTGATAACAGCCTCCTATGTTATCATATATAATTTTAGATTTAAAATTGTATAAAAATGTAGAAATGATTCGCTAACAAATCATACTCGTCCCTTAAATTTCTAAATTCCGTGATTCCAGAGTATATTTTATATTTATATTTCACTGCTTATTCCATTTCCATTAAATTTCTTTTAAAATTCCGCTTTAACTCTTTGCATTCGTACGTCGCCATATAATCGCTATCCTATATTTTATTATTTACAATATATGTATAATATAATTATATATAATATGATATAACATTCTAGAGGGCTCTTCTTACATGATCGATAACTTTCTTAAATATAAATACAAATATAAATGGTTGAAATCTTTTTTTTTTTTTAAAGAAGAAAGCGAAAGACGTGGCGACGAACGTGTTAAACGGGTTTAAATTTCGCGCCGCGCACGCGCGATCCAACGCGGATAATTAACGCTTTCGCCCGACAGTTTTTTTCCACGATTTCTGCGTGCATCGGGGACCGTTGCATGTTTATTGGCATTTATTCACGGGCGCGCAGTTGTTAAGAGAGCCGGACTCGTGTTAAAATATGAGAAAGATACGGCGGCGATCTATCGTGGTGGAAAGTTCAGCGAATATCTCGATTGGAGAAAGATACACGAGTTTCGAGCGGCCATTTGGATAATCGAATATATTGCGCTGGTATTTCAAGAATTCGTTTCTCGATGTTTCGATGTATTTTCTTTCTTACGTACGACTGCCATCTTGCGTCGAATTCAACCAACTAGTCAGTTGTACGATATGTAAACTTCGTTATACTTTAAAAGGTATAATTTTAATGGAGAAATACGTACTTTTAGTCGATCGATTAAATTTTTTTTTTTTTCTATAAAAAAATTTACCTAATGTTAATCTCTGTCTAATTTTATAGTAAAAAGGGGAAATGTAGATGTTCTTTGGTACTAGAGTTGTTAATTACAAAATATGCAGAGAAAGCTTCTATGATATATATTATTCTGTTGTTGTTATAAATTCAAATACTTTTTACACGTGTTTAAAAAAATTACTGTCAAAATTAACAGACTTTTTTAAAAAAAATTGTATAATCAACAAATATAATTAACAATAGCGCCAATGAATATCGTCAGAACAAGAACAAGAAACCATCCCCAAGAGCAATTGTTCGCTTATAAAAATTGCATTTAATATCGCTTATTCGAATAATGATAAGTGGCAAGAAACTGGAACAGAAATGTAATCCAACATTAAGATCAAACGAGACAAAAAGACAAAAAAAGTGTAACAAAGCGAGTGGTGGATTCCAACGAGGTTATCGGGCAGAGATCTGTTGTCGCCGTTTCCACGAACCAGTTTCCAGGTGTCCATTCGCGAATTCGTGCGCTCGTATTTCGCGGAAAAGTGTCGCCGCCCACGTCAGATAAGACTCGAAGACACAAGTGTGAAAGTGCGACAAGATTGTTCTTCGAGGAGTTTTGCGTGAAAGCATAGAGATTTCCGTTTTTTTGCCGCATTAATCGATATTTCTTCCGGAAGAGATTGCACGATACTTTATGATGGTATCGTCCTTTCACAAACATCTCTGGAACCACCTGTTGTGTGCAACAGGAAACTGAGATTCCTCCTCAACGTGGTAAATTATTATGATACGTTGAAATTATTCATTCCATATATTGGAAATATTATTTATACCATATACTTTTCTTCGAACCACGAGTTTAAATTCTATTTAGATATGCTATTATATAGTCATCGTTGTGTCAAGATTTATTCCGATTTTATGTGCACGCTATATTTCGTATAAAACTGAAACAACAATGAATAATTCGTTCTATTGATCTTGCCAAATTTTATCGCTGTTTCAATCCAACCGTGAAAAATTGTGAGAAGATTCCTCTTTTCGAATCGATACGAATCCCGTTTCACCGGCACGATCAATTTGTAAACAAGCAAGGCCGCCGGTCATTGCACGAGGTGGAAAAAGATGTGGCCGGGACGAGTGGGACAAAAACCTAGAGATATTTCTTCGTTCGTTACTCTCGAGCCGACTCTCGATCGATCGATCGATCGATACATACATATTACATGATTCGTCCCGATTGCTAGGAAGTGGCGACTAGAGAGAGGCTGTCCAGGGATCCCCCGAGGTCTCGATTGTCTGATCCTTTGAAAATCCAGCTTGACAGCTTTCGAGACGATACGTCCAAGTCGAGAAATGTTTGTCAATATGGTGACGCGTCGCCGATTCTCTTTGCCAATTTCCTCTCTCACGTGAAATGTAATCGTGAGCTAATAATTTTTAATTATAAATAAATATGCGAAAAATTGAAAATAATTTTAACTCTCGTTTATAAATCGTTATATATAATATTTAGTAAAACACTTTTCTAATCATGATCAATCGTGAAATTCCAGAAATTTCTTCTTTCCATCTTTCTTCAGCTGAGAAATCCTTCGTTCACATTTAAATTCACATACAATTTAACTCCCTTCGTTGGGCCGAGAAATTGAGAAATTTTCTCGTCAAAATAAGCCCTTTCAGTCGAGAAAGAGACCACCTATTCCTCCTTAAACTCGGTCATTAGCGCGATCCAGCTTCGAACCACCGACGAGCATCATTCGAGTTGAATCGCCGCCAAAGAGTTTGATCCTCCATGATCTTCCCTCGAAGCGATCGATTCCGTGCACGTCGAAGGCCACGCGACTCGAGAACGGGCGTCCATCCATCCATCCTCCCCCTTCTTCCTTGCTCGAGGACTCGCAGTCGTCCTTTTACTTCTTTTTCTCGACGAGGGTTCCTGGAAAACCCACCATCCGACGAGAGAAAATAATAGTTGGATGCATGGATATGCACGTATAGTTT